CTCTCTTTTATATCAATTGTTCCTGCTGAATCTTTGAAATTGTTTTAACCAAAGTGCGATATTATGGAAATTATGTAGATATTTTTGCTTATTATCCTTGAAGAAAGGAATCAGTAACCTCGGAAAAAGATAGAAAAGTTACTATTGTGTTACCAGATGAAGTATTACCATCAAAAGAAGAAATGCCAATTGGATTCTTCAACCAATCTTATACCCCCTGATGGACTAAATATTCTTAAGTTTCTTAATATGCTAAGCATGCGTCTGCTCTAAATTAGATATACAAGGATTTCAGCCAGACATGAACCCAAGGCTTAGAAAAACTTTAGAAGCTCTTGCTTACATAGAAAATGATTTAGATAATGCTCTTAACTCTGAAGAATTACCTGAAGAACAAGAGGATTATGAAGAAGAAAAGACTGAAGAGAGTAATTGGCAGATATAGTTTCAAAAGTTTCGGAAAAATCAGAACAAATTAGAAAAGGATATTAATAAAGAATATGATGACGATAGAGATCAAGAACTACTGGCAACTATTCTATGTCAAGTTCTGTTAAGCATAGAAACGATAAACTTCGATTATTGGATGATCAATTTGAAAAGGTTGCTGATAATATATTTATATTCACAATCGAAAAATTTGGTCTTAATGGTTTCTAGCATCTTTTGAATTAGATCGAAAAAGAGTATATGTAAGATAATGACAATGATTCTGATATCGAATCAACGTCTTTTTCTCAAGTTCGGTAAGATTTTTCTAAAATCCTTTATGAATTCCTTGATAAACATGAAATTAGCGGTCGGAAAATTGTGACAAAATCAGAAGATATCAATTGGAAACAATTCGTCAAGAATTGGGGCAAGTCCATCTTAACGAACAAGGATCTGAGTTAAAGGATGAAATGGTTAACAAAGCTACTAAGACGAGTAAAGAGTATGTAAAGGTTGAAAGTGAATTATTTACAAAAAACAGGCGATTTTCAATCAATTCTGAGTAAGACTTCTATATGTTATGTAACAGCACCTTCTAAGTTTCTCTGCTGCAATTCTATAAATTACCGATTTTAGGTACATATTCAAACCTTGAAAACTATCCGACCTTAATATGCAAGCAACCTTGTAAAAAGTCAAATAAAGACTGATGTTAAGAAATTTCTCAAAAACGAAGAATCTGATTTAGAAAGACAAGTAGAAGTTGCGGAGGTCAGTTAAAAAGAATGTCGCGGATGATACTAGATAATGCTAAAATCTGGACCTATCGTCATTTATTTAATATAAACTTTAGGAGAGTCGTTAATAGAAGCGGGACCTGTAAAAATTCGAATTTTATTTATAATTTGAAATTCATATAAATAAAATCCAAAATTTTCCGGGTTTCTGAGTAAAGTAGGGCTCATAGCAGAGCTAGCACATGACTTTGCCAAATAAAGACTCCAAATTTTCAATATCATCCACAATATATATGAATCATACATTGCTTATTATTAATCATACTTATGATTCTGCATATTTCATTGGTAAATTTAGGCATAACCAATACTGAGAGCATTTGACATCTAAAAAAAAATAACAAATTATTCAAAACCTTATTCCAGTCGATCTTTTGACGTGTCAGTGGCCTCATGTTCCGATAGTTCAAGATTAGATTCATTCAGTGCATTTTGAATCTCGTTATCAGCTTTGGAAATTGAAGCGGCAGCTGATGCGGTAGGGTCCTTTAAAATATTATAATGGATTTATATAATCATCTTAAACTTATTAAATTCGAATAAAGTGTTCATATATGAAATATACCAATTTTTGTTTTTTGGGAGGCGTATCATCTTCGGCCGTCCTTTTTCCTGAGTTTCCAGGCCGAAAGTTATTGTAGTATCCATTTTTACAGTATTTAATTGATCGCTGTTTTTTACGTTACACCTGATCTAGCCAATCAACAATAAATAGCAGTCATACGAGATGTGCAGATCACGTGTGTTAAAATTTTAGGAGTCAAATCTTTTTTCAATTCGAAATATATATTTATTTTTGAAGCATCAAGACAGTAGTATAGCTAGTTAAATATATTTCAATTAAGACAAGCGTTTCTTTCTTATTCGAGCTCGTTTATTAATTCTAAACTGCCTGTCACTTACACAATCACATTTTTTAGAAAATTACTATGGGTTTATAGAATTTCTGATATGGCTATCGATTTTATATATCGATTACTAAATTTAATCATTAAGTGTCGCTATTTGTTGTCTAATTGATAATCTTGACGAGAAAAATATTTGGGCTCAGGTAACGTTTAGATGGGCGGATTATTTTGCCAGTTTTTCGAAATGATTTTTATATTTATTTCATTATATAATGTGGACACATTTGTATTAATTCTTCAATTGTTGCTTGTAGTACGTATTGAGTTGTAAGTTGTGGTCGAATTTTAATTACTCCGAGTTGTTGTTTTTCAATATTTTCCCATTGAACAATTTTATAATTGAATGTTTGTTCTTTAATTAAGTTGTAGCATGTATCGGTTGTAGTGTTGTATTGGTCCTAGTTGTTGTAATATAGTGGGTTGTTGTTCTTTTTCAAATATTAAGTATTTTCGTTTTTCAAGTTTTCTAAGTTTAGCATTTGTTCTATTTATTAAGTTTTTGAATCTTATTACTTCTTTTTCGGTTTGTGTTTTTCTTGATATTTGTCCATTTTTTTTATAGTGTTGAATTTTCATTTTCTGAATTTTAATATTT